ACAGGGGAACCACAACCGCCTTGTTTATTTTCCCCTGATTAAAATTACAGTCCTTGTGAGCGCCTGATGCTGCCTACTTATGAAGAGAGACTGCTTATTAGAATTCAAAGTGGGAGGGGAGTGTCATTTCTTTAAGACTCATTAATCATCCACGGATGGCTGCACATCTTAAAGTCATCTGGGACACCCAGAGGCTGAAGCAGGGGGAGGCTGATGATGGCTGAAGATGGTTGAAGGCTCGCTTATGCCACACTTTGTCAAAAAGGATGACAGGAGCCTACTGCTTGGAGGGTGACAGGGTCCCAGGCCTTTCCAGTGGGCATCCCAGGCATCCAGCCTGATTTGCGCTCATTGTGGCTAGCTGGCTCAGTGTCTCAGAGAGACCACTGGCAGCGCCCAGCAGAAGCAAGGAAAACCCCGAGAGGCTGAACTTGCGTGCCAAGATATGACTGGAAGGATGTGCGAAGGGACTGCTCTGGCTTTCTCGGCCAGAGAGGGTGTACTGTGCCCACAGGATCTAGCAATTGCCCGTCGGCTTTGCAGCCTTCGTTACGCAACACGTCAAGCTCAGCCCTCCTCTTTGCACCAAGCTCCAGGGTCACAAACAGAATCTTCCCAGAGCCCAGCTGACCTATTTCCAGCCAATCTGATCATGGCCAGACTTCTGGAATTCCACCGATCACAAATGTAACGAAACTCAAAAAAGACAGCTAGCCACTGTGCCTCTCCAGCCTGAGCAGCATGATGTGCAGAGGGGAGACACAAGTCTGCAGATGTGTCTCAAAGGAGTCACAGCTGGCTGAGGAGCATAAGTTTGTGATGTGCTTTCAGATATGGAGTTTTTGCCCACCCTTGTCCTCAGTATTTGCTATGGAGACACAAGCATTTGCCTTTCCCATTCTGTGGTATAGTGGTAAAGCTTCAGACGAGGATGATCATCATGGTAGTCCCTGAAGCCAGGCCTCTGAGCTATGCCTCCTCAAATGCAGACAGTCGGGTTAATTCAACAACTAGTTCTAGCAGTAGTAGGGATTTGGTAAAGCGAATGAGTCTGAATCGCCCGTCTCAGACCAAGTCACACCCAAATACCTGCCACTCTCCCCAGGAATTGTGAGGATTACAGCTAAGCTCAGAGGGAACAGGGAAGCCTGAGGTGGTGGGAAAAGATGTCATCACTCCCGTTAATCAGAAAGTTCAGGCACTTTGACCTGGTGCATCCTGACTCCGCTATACCACTGTCTCCATCGCAAGGGAAGTAGTTATAACCAGTGCTGGAATGGTGATTAGAGGCCCTGAACCTCAGAGTTCTTTGCATGTTTTCTGAACTGCTTTTTGCACGTCCTGAAGCTTCTGATTAGGTCATCTCTGCCACTGGGCTGCAGCAACATTCAGGAGACGGTATCGCTAATGCAGCTCAGTTGGCCATGCACTTATCATTTATTTATTTTAAAGGCGTCTGAGCCACCTTTTCGGAGAAACGTGCTTAATATCAAAACCCTCTCCAGCATACAGAACCGCCTGCCTCGTGCCAGGCAGCATGATTCGAAAACACATTTCCAGAGCAGCTCTGCACGTCTTGGCTTGATTGCCTGGGGCAGACAGATGGAAAATGGAGGGGCAACAAAGTCACAGCCTGTGTTAAACCCTAAGCACCTGTCCTTTCAGGGCTGCTTCACATGCTATGGGTCTTAAGAGCCTTTCAGTGAGGCTTTTCAATAGTCAGATGGTTGGACGCTTGGTGGATTCATGTCAGTTTCACTCTAGAGACAGGCCTTTATTTCAGTCTGGAAGCAGATGGCCACTGCAGGTCTGGAGACAGAAAAAAGGATGCAAAACTGACAAGCACCTAAGCGTACAAAAGCGGCACTGTCTGGGCTGGTGCGCCTCTCTCTCTTGCAGCCTGAGCCAAGTATCCAACCTTCCTTCTTGTCATCTGTCCTGCTCCTTAATCCTGAGTGGATTGGGACAAGTTGCAATTGCCTCTGCACATGAAGTGCTTGATCTGCCTCATCTTGGAAGCTAAGCAGGATCGGGGTGGGTGGCAATCTGGATGGGTGACTTGAGTCTTGCCTTGAGCAGGAAGTGGGACCTGATGGCCCGCTAGGCCTCTTTCAACTGCATGATTCTATGTTCAGAGACACTTTTCTTCAATACTGCCTCATATATTCCAGGAATCAGGCACGGTTCTCAAAAAACAGATACTCCAGCTAAATCTGAGCCCTAGCTGAATTTTAATCCCTATTCAGACTCAGTGCCTGCATGCATAAAGAATGGGAAAATTAATTCCTCACTAGCTGTTGTTGTTTTGTTGTTGTTTTTAAAGAAAAGAAAAGAGAGCTCAAGTTGTCTAGGAATGACAAAGCAACTTTCCCTGATTCTTCTTAAAGGAACACCCCGCTCCATTTTAATCCACTTGATGCTGCCATTCACACAAAAGCTTCTGCCCTGCCATTCTCTGAGGCCCAGCAGCTTGGAATGCCCCCACTGTTCCTTCTACAAGCTCCTGCGGGCCGGCTCCTGGAACGCTCACTTGCTCGCTCGCTTGCCGTGGGCTCTCAAGTTTCCCTTTACAGTCCCAGCCTGCTAGTGCCGCGGCTCCCGTCCGTGCGCGCACACTGCTGCATCGCTGGCAGCTTTTGTTGCCACAGCAACAGAGAGAGAGGCAGGGTGGAAACTGGCTATAGAGCATTCTCCCAGGTGGATGGATGGAGAAATGTATCTGAATAATGTGCTGGCATCACCTGGAAGGCAGGTACAGTTATTGATGGTTATTGCAGTCAGAGAGGCCACTGAAATGCCTAGGACTGGGAGGGGAAATATGGACTAGAAAAGCCCCTTTCCCAGTGCATTTGGAGGTTGTTAAGGAAGCAGAGACCAAGAACCCGGTGGAGATGGAGCTTCAGTGGCAATATAGGTTAAAAGGTCAGGCACGTCACTGTAGGCAAAGGCAGCTGCGTGTTTTCTTTTTTCTTTTTCTTTCTCCATGTACTTCCAGAGAGTACCGTCAAGGTGACCACTCTTTGAATGCTGTGTATAGTTTTGGTCACTGCTTCTCAAAAAGGAAAAATGCAGAGCTGCAAAATATGCAGAAAATGCAACTAATTTGGATGGGTGTGGGAGGAACTGGAGCAAATCCTGTGAGGATGAATTCCAATGATCAGGGTTTCTTACTTTAGGAACAAAGGTGAATAAAAGGGGACATACTAAGAATTATAAAATTATGCCAGGTGTGGAGAAAGTGGACAGAGGTATATTTGTCTCCCTTTTTCATATTACTAGAACCCATGAGGTCATCCAATGAAGCTCAGAGTTAGGAGCCACAGGATGAATGAAGAGGAAGTGCTACTTCACACAACTAAACAATGGAATTTCTCCATAAGGTGTGGTAATGGCCAATAAGTTGGAGAAATTCAAACTGATAAGGTCATCATGGCTACTCTGCCACCAGGATCAGAAGCACTGTGCCATGGATATCAGTGGCTGGAGGCAAGAGTGGGAAGATCCATTGCTCTCATATCCTGTTTGTGCACTTCCTGGAAGCATCTGGTTGATGAGTTTGGGAAACAGAATAATGGACCAGAAGGGGCTACTTTATTCTGTTCTTGAGGAAATCTGTAATCGCAGTCCACATGCTGTGTGTTGTACAAATCTGCAACATTGTTTATTTGCATGCTTCATTTTAATTGAACAAACCAATTTTCCAGCAAGAGCTCATTTTTGGACAGTCTCTGTTGAAGACTGAGGGCTTCAGTTCCATATCAGAATAACAGATAAGGAAACTGTATTGAGTGGAAACTGTCCACTACTGCTGGATTAGCAGACATCCCACAATATTCAGCAGTTGCTGTGGTCCTCATATATTTTCAGGTGCTTCCCTCTGCCCTCATGAGGGCCGGAAGCATACTTTCAAAAACAATGGTGCTTGTATATGCAGGATTCCACTGCAACTACCAGATAATAAATCAGAATGCACATTCCATTCCATGTTCTGTAATGCAGCCACAACCATGCCAAATTTTAGCACTCCACGCTCCAGCTATATATAGCCCGCTATATTTAGCTTCCTCTAGGCTCGCCTATATATTTGTAACATACAGCTGCTTTTTGTCCTCTTCTCGCTCGGATTCTGAAATATTATTATTAGACTGTATTTATATCCTGCTTTTTCCCCTCTTGTGAGGAATTCAGGGCAGCTGACATAGTTCTCCTCCTCTCCATTTTTATCCTCACAACAACCTGGGGAGGAAGCGTAGGCTGAGAGTCCATGACTTGCCTGGAGTTAATCAGTGAGGTTCATGGCAGTGAGAGAACCAGAGTCCGGATCTCAAGCCCCATCCCGCACTCTTGCTACCATGCCACATGCAACGCTTTCCCTGGAACGATTCCTTTACAGCAATGCTAATGGTAACCATCTCTGTTCCAGTTTTGTAGTGCTGGGAGAGCCTAGGAAATGCCAGAGGGGAAAAGATCCTCACCTGTGGTCTTGAATAACCCCTTTTGTTTGATCATCCCATAACTACCCAAGTATCCTTTGTAAGCAGATGTGCCAAAATTTCTATCTGGCTCACATGACCTCAGTTCTTTTCCTTATCCCTTTGTGAGCATGATTGCCTAATTAACCTTGTGGCGTGCAGGTTGCTATGATGTCTGAACCTGGCATGGTGTACAGTGGGGGGGGGGCGCCTTCCAAACCACCCCAGAAACAACAAACCACGTGTCTATTGGGCAGTTTAGCCAGGTTCAGAGGTCATGGTGGCCTGCTGTGCCACCTGGTTAAATAGGCAAATTGCATGGCATGCAACCAGCTCACATGGGGTGGGGAAAAGGCTTCTTCTCCATGGCTTCTTCTCCCCCAATTGTGTGAGCCCTTGTATTGGTTTAGTCAGGGAGAGGCAACGGTGGTCTGGGTAGCTCTTCTGAATACAAAGCAGCAGCTGGATGCTTTCTTGACATCATGATGCCAGTTCCACTGGTGCTGCACAATGGCAGCATGGACTCACCTCCAGAACCCTTCCACTGATGTACCGGTTGCAGGTCTCACATTTAATGCCGAACTGGGCGTGGTAGTCGGATTCGCAGTACGGGATGCCATCCCTGTGGGGAAAGATGCAGGCTATGAGCCTCAGAAGAAGCAATGGGGCAGAAAAGATTCCCCCTCCCCCCCTGCCCACCGCACAGCCCCATCCAGCACAAAGGTGAGGTCTGCTTGCAAGGTGGGATGCTGAAAGGGCACCTGCACTGAAGTGAGGGGCACCGGGGGGGGGGGGGGACTGACTTTGGGGTTCATATTCTGGTATTCATGAAGGCTGTATTTACACAGGGGGGCAGTGGTGGGGCAGCTTCTCCCCCCCCCCATCATTTCCTTTCCTTCTTCCCCGCTTGGGCTCCTCATATCTTGCCACCCCCACAAAAGTGGCTTCTCTTCATTATCACTCTGCACAGTGCAGAAGGCAGAGATTTCAGCTTCGTGTCCCCAGACACAGGCCAGCATCAAGCACCTGCTGAGCACCCACAACCCTGCAGGAGCCCACTGGCCAAAGACCCCTGGAGGTTCTCTTTCTCACCACTGCGTGACGGCTGCTGCCCTGGTCGCCTTGCTCTCTGGCTCTCTGCCTGTCAAGTGAGCACAGGGAAGCCACGAAGAGAAAGCGCTGGTGCAATAGCAGCTGGTGGCAATGAAGAAGAAAAGGCAGGCCCACTGAGGGAGGGGCCTTGTAAGGCCTCAAACATTGCCCGGGCTGGACCAAGGGGTGCCCTGAAGGGCCTGAGGATGCCCCAAGGCAGGGAGGGCACCCTCAGTCAGTGGGGCAGCAGCCTGATATCACTCCCGTGTTGCTCTTGGAGAGCACCCAGGGAGTTGGACGGAAACTGCTTTCTTTCAAACAACTGCACCGGCTTGTTCGAAGAAGCTTGTCACTGCTGGGGGTTACTGTGAGTGTTTGTGCTGGAAACAGGAGAACTGGCCTTTGATGGGAAATGCCCTTGTCTAGGGGATACAATGGGGCGCCTGTTGCCGGCCTGTGCAAGCCGGCCAGGGCCCATTTGGAGCAGCACACAGCTGCCTGGGCTCAGTGGTTCTTCGGGAGCCAGGGCCTGAATCAGGGGCAGGGCAATGAGCAGCCTCCTTGAGAAACGCTTCCTGGCTCTCCATCGGCGTAGACCTATTCAGATATGCACAGTGGGCAAATGTGCCTGGTGCGGAGAGGCTAGGCCTGGCGCTGGGGCCACCAAGGCGGGGCAGAGCTGTGACCCTGCAGGGCCCAGGGGAGAGCGGTCTCTGGCACAGCCTGCAGTGAGGTCTGACAGTGCGCTGAGAGGAAGGGACGAATGGGGGTCGTGGTGCTAAAGGACTCGAGGGAAACGGACTAGCCTAGCGTTCAAAGGGCCCATATGCTTCTTGAGTAGCTGGCAAGTCTGAGAAAAGGCACTTCACAGATGACAGTTCCCACACCAGCCTTCCCCAGCTTGGTGCCTTCTAGACGTTTGGGACTCCAGCTCTCGGCCTCCTTGACTATTAGCCATGCTGGCTGGGAACTGCAGTCCAGAACACCTGGAGGGTAGGTGGCAAGAGAAAGTTATTCTGCGGTCATTAATGTTTGTTTCAGGGAGAAAAGCATATCGAAGCATGATGCCTGGATTGCTGTGTGACTCCTTTTTGTCTGTTAGGAGATACAGGGGGTGAAGCTCACCCCGTCCTCCTGCAGACATTGCGACCTTATGCTTCCCGAGCCCAAGCCTTCATTTCTGCATGAGCTGACCCGGAGGGCCATCTACCCCAACACTTAGGGATTGCTGCAGGGCTGAAAGTAATCAATGAATACTTGATCGGTACGATCAAATAATTAAATCATTAATTGCACAGTGAAACAGTAATGTGTCTTTTCAATCAGTTTTTTAAAGAACCGGATGGGAGATTTTTCAGCAGCCGACAGCAGTTTACCAACAGTTATCTTTAGCACATTAAAGATAGTTTAACCCCCAATAAAAGTATGTCTTCTTCTTACTGAGCTGAGAGAAATGTTGCTCTCATTAAATAGCCTTAAATTTTATCTGGCACTGGGTTTTTGTAACAGCACTTTATAGAACTCGTATCTGCCAACATTTCAGAGGAATAGGCAGTGCTGACCACACCATCCCCGTGTCCTGCTGACTGACACCTGCATGGACGTGACCAGCCGGCTTCCTCCAAGAGGGCTCCTCTCTGGCACTGATGTTACCGGATCACACAACAAACGGTGTATCTACAGGGCCCATAATTCAGGCACAGGCTGGGTTCACATGACCTGCCAGGCCTGCATAGCAGGCACCCTGCCAGGACTTTGCCCAAGTGAGGTTTCCATTTTGGACCATGGAAATGTGCACTGCACACATCCAACGAGATTTTAAGAAATACAAACATTTCGACAGACATTTGAGACATTTGTTTTAAAAAGAAAGGTGGAGAATCAGTGACAGCCCCTCTGATGTGCCACTTGAGTGACCTCCTAAAAGAAGAAAAAAAAGGAAGAATGGGATATGGGGGAAGCTGCAGCAAGCAAAAACGTCCTCCCATTTGTGATGGGGAGCATTGAGAAGGTGGTTTCAGCCATCAAGACTTCTGGGATCTCAGTTGGAGGAGCTGGAGATGGAGCAGGGAGCAGCCCACAGAGAGTCTGATTATTTGTCAGACACCCCCTGGACGTATGCAACAACCAACCCACTGCGGTTTATTGCCAGGGTGAGTCACTGTGACATGTGAACCCAGCCACACTGTTACAGCAAATGAGGATTCCAAGCAGCACTACCCAGCACGGCTTCCCACAAGAGCAGGGAATGTGTGGCCAACCAGATCTTGCTTAACTACAACTCCCATCATTTCTCATCACTAGCTATGATGGCCAGGGCTAATGGGGATCGAAGCCTTCAACATCCGGGGGACCATCCATTTACCACCCCCAGTGTGTAAGAGTTCATTGAAGGAAAGGCATTGTAAATCAGGGTAAAACCTGAATAATGTTTAAGATTCTTTAAGTTACGTACTTAGTTAAGGATTTGAAAGTGGCAGTGCTATCAGAAATCCTATAGATAAGGATTTCCCATCTCTGTAGGGGCTGGACTACTTAACTTTTGAGACCCCTTCCAGCTTGATGAGTCTCTGTTGTGAGGTGCCCAAACACCTGCAGCTTTGACATCATTTGTACATATTGGCCTGAGGAGAGGAAGCTGAGAACAGCTTTACTTCTTACTAAGCAGGCAGAGGAGAATATTGGTTGTACAAGTCCAATCACCAGATAATTACTTTTGAAAACAAAACTGGAAGGAGGCTGAAAGATCCTTTAGGAGGCAAAATCCCTCAAGGGATTTCAGCTTTGATCTGTATCATCTCACACACTTTCCCACAAACAGACAGGGTGAAAAGAATGCAAATAATGCCTGCTTCCTCTGTGATGCATGAAGGAGGCCCTCTGGCTGCTCCTTTGCATCTAAACCCATGCATTCAGAGGCATGGGCAGCCCACAGACTTCTTCGCTGCTGCAAGAAATGCACAACTCCAATTGCATAAGAGGTGCAAAAGAGGAGGGATGAGTTACTGGTATTCCCTTTTCTCTGTCTGCTTGTTGGCAATGTGGGGAGTCTGTTGGGAATCTCAGGTGGTGCCTGGAATCCTTCAAGGGTACCATTCCAATGCTCAGCTTCGAACCACTCTCCACCCATCTAGTGGCAGGATTTGTGCTGGGCAGGAAAACGTACTTGCTAATATATTCTCCAGTCAGGATGATTCCACAGGTTTGGCACTTGAAGCAGCTGACATGCCACTGTTTCTCTAGGGCCAGGAGTGACTGACCTTGCTTAATCTCCTCCTTGCAACCTGCACATTCTAGGAAACAAGGAAAACAGAGAATTAGCAGCAGCAGCATCCCGAATGGTTTCAGAGTCTGACAGTGAAGGACAGCTCTGCCCACAAATGACAAATGGGCATGGGATTACTCAGGATCAGATCTTATCTGAGGAAAGTCACCTGCTGAGGTTAGCAACAGAAGAGGAAGTGAGAAATTGTTTTTATTGATTTGAAAGATAGTCACCAAGACAGAAAAAAAGGGAAAAAAAACTTCCTTTACCATTACAACAATGTATATTTCAAGATGAAAGGTATAATATTCCATTTAGCCCTACACTAAACTGAAAGCTGAGAATGGAATGTGATTTCCTGTTACGGCTCACATTTGCTGGTCTGTCTTGGCTTTGCATGTTTTCATCTTATCAAGTGATGTCGAAAGTATGAATACATCTCTGTATTTGCCATTTCCTCTGCTTGGTGAATTGCGTATTGTTATTTTAACTCATCAACGTTATTATTACATTGCATTTAACTGTTTAATAACTGCATTATTATGACACTGCAGTAACACAGGAGTTGAGGAATATGGATCCCTCCAGACTGATGTATTATTATTTGTTTGTGAAACTGGTATCCTGCCTTTTCCTCCAAGGAGTCCAGAACTATGTACAAGGCCCTTCTCTCCATTTTATGCTTGCAAGAACCCTGTGAGGTAGGCTAGGCTGAGAGTGAGTGATGGGCCCAAAGTCACCTCATGAGCTTCATGGCCAAGAGTCTGGTCCTCTCCAGTCCTAATCCAACATCCTAACCACAGTGGCTTTCCACACTGTCATTGGGCTACAAATCCCATCAGACCACGCTGGCATCGCCAATAGTGAGAGATGATGGGAAGTGAAGTCTAGCAACACCCGGCGCATAGAATCATAGAAACAGAGTGCGTCAGAAGGGGTCTCTTGGGCCATCTAGTCAGACCCCTGGCTCCAGCCGGCTCCACTCATGACATGCCGACCATGCGCATGTCCACATGGCACTTCCCTTTCTCCATCCCTGCCACAGTACATGAACATTGAAAAAACTAACCAATACTCTGGGAAATCCTGGAATAGATACAAAGGAAAATGAAGTGGGACAAATCGGTGGAGCTCCTACATGCTTTCAGTTACTGAGGTTCTCACCGGCCATGTCCCGCTGAGCTGTTTTAATCAAGAATGAGGGCCACACAGTGGCTTATATTCTGTGGACAGCCTGCGTCTTTTCTCTGTCTCCTACTGGCAAAAGCAGAATGGAAGGATGTGTTTGGAGGCAGGCTAGAGTAGGAAGAGCTGTTCCCTAACCTCTGTCCACCTTGGCCACATCCGGCTGTGGAGGTATTTACCAGCATCCCTTATTTCCCATTTCCCTTGCTGCCTGTGGAGATCAGTGACAGGAAGCACATGGCCCCTGAAAGCGATGACCTTGACTCTGCTCTGATTGCCTCTTTCCTTCTGTCCCTTCGGTAATAAGAATCCCCTAGATTCCAAGAAGCCATTTGGAGAAAAGGGCTGCCTGCGTACAGGACCCACGGATTGCTTTGGAAGGTTAATTCAGTCCAGCTGGCAACCCTAAGAAACACAGTGAAGCAAAACAATGCTCGTAGTGGGGCAGCCCTGGTGCACTCTGCATTTTATCCTGGCATGCACAGCAGAAGCCCTGGTGGGGTCATCTGAAAACACACGGAGCAGATTTGCTGGCTTGTTCTGTTTTCTCCCTTGTCATTCATCTTTCAATGCTAACCTGGGTTTGCTGCTCATCCTTTCAGTACATCCTCTACTTTGGGGGCTTCGGGGGCTTCTAGCAAACACATACACACACACAGACAAAGATATACTGGGACTTTCTGGAGCTTTGTACACTGACAAGATATTCTCCCTGCCTCCCCTTCTGCATCCCTGCTAGATTCTGTTTTAGCAGCAATGGCAGAGGTGTATTCAAAGCAGTGGCTAATAAGGGTGCAGACAGAGCAAGGCTGTCCTTTGCCCATTCACATCCTGAATGCCGTGTGCAGCTGGTTATGAATAATCCATGGTGCCCTCGAGTAACCTGAGCTGTGCATCCAAGGAGAGGAATCTATCTAGGAGCACATTTCAGGGGAGGCGGTGGCGTTCCGGTGACCTGTCAGTCGTACAGTGCATGGAGAGGGAAGCAGTGGGAGGGGGAGGGCATTGTGGTATTTACATTGTTTTGTCTCAAGGCTCTTGAAGCAGATTCCTGGAAACTGAGCGGGCAAGGGGGGGATGAGCATCTTGGTGCTGATTCAGCAGACCCAGGGCTACCAGCTGTTTCTGTGTCTCCTGCAGCAGAAACAGCTGGCTAGCGATTCTGATTCTTGGAGATCTGCTTCATGAGCAACTGAATGGTAGAGATCTGACAAGAAACCAATCCCACAGTGCTGAATGAGAGAATGCACCTCCAGGGCGTAATTGTGTGCATGTTAAGAGAGGAAGCAAAGTCCCACCACTCCTAGCATAGTTAGCCAGGGGATGCTGAGAGCTGTAGGACTCTTTTTCTGCCCAGACATGCACAGGATCATGCCCTAACCGAGCATGAAAGCCAGTGTGCTGTGGTGGTTTGAGTGCTGAACTGGGGCTCAGGAGGTCCCAGTTCTGGTTGCCACTCAGCCATGAAGCTCATGGGGTGACTTGGGGCTAGTCACTGCCGCTTGGGGTTGCTATTGGGAGCTCAGGAGAGCCCTGTAAGCTGCTTTGGTTCCTTGCAAAGGGAAGAAAGGTGAGATCTCAATGTAACGCAACAACCACAATGGGATTTGCTCATGTGCTGCGTGTAGCGTTACGTGGCACCTTGGCTATCTCAGGAATGAACGCAAGGGCAGCTGAAGACTTTTTGATGCCTGGGATAGAAAATCCAAATGATGCCCCTTTTGTGTTAATTATCATGGGATGCAAACTACCGAAAAACCCCTCCCATACAGGCCTTGCTGGAAATGAACTAGCATGGCCTTGTGCAATGGCCATTTATTTTGAAGAACCTTGGAACCTTGGAACTTTCCTGCAGATTATACTCCATCTCTTCACATCTCACAGTTTCTACATTTGACACTGTAAGTAGAACACAAAATATGTCTATTCAAGAGGACATCTCATCTTCCTTCACTGGTAGAGACCCTGAAAATTTGTACATGAGATTTGCCATCCTCATCACTCCCCAAAATGCCAGGGACAAGCACTTAGTTTAAAAATGTAGATGGAATGTCACCTAAATTCTATCACAGTCCATTATTTCATATGATCACCTACCAATGAAGGTTAGGCACCATAATGCCTGGATGCTGGACTGGACTATAATGCCTGGATGCTGGTCACATAGGGTGACTCTAAAAGCTGATGAAGAGAGGATGTACTCTCATCGGGTGCACATTTCTGCTACCTCCTGGTTACTTCAGTGGGTGTAGATTCATCTAATCCCAAGCCAAAGGGGCCAAAGAATCTCCCACGGGAAATACACAATTAGGCCACAAGTACAACAACATCTTCTTGTCCATGTCACCCAGGAACTGGTGGAGATACACATGCAGCCACTGGGACTTAACATCCACTGATAGCTTTCTTCTCCATGAATTTATCCAGTCCCCTTCTAAGGCCATCCAAATTGCTGTCAATCACCACCTCTTGCAGTAGCGACTTCTGTTCTGTTGTTTATTTGCTGGGTGAAAAAATCTCTCCCATCTTCTGCCAGTTTCAGTGGATGACCCCAGCGTCTAGTATTTTGAAAGAAATCTTTCTTCTTATCCATTTTCTTTACACCATGTGTAATAAAATGTATCCGATTCTTTCTTTCCCTTACATTTTTTCTACACTGAAAAGAATGCATGGGGGATGCAATGCACATGACACATCATTCCAAACCACAACAGACAACCAGCAATGGTAGATCCAGTTGAGGAAAATTAAAAAGAAAAAAATAGAATTAGGATTTAAAATGTTTTACTGTTTTGGCAGAAAATGCCAAATGCAAGTCACAGATACAGTCACAAATGAGAGTATGCTGGAAAGCCACTTTTCAATCAGAAAAAGACTGGAAACAAGCCTGGATGCACGACTGCTCATTATTTATTGTGGTCTGAAGTAAGCTAAAAAGTATGTAACCTTTCCTCACTGGGGGCCTGCTCCAGTTTCTTGATCATTTTTGTTGCCGTTTTCTGCATGTTATCCAGCTCCACAATATCCCATTTAAGGTGTGGTGACCAGAAGTGCACATGCCCTCCTATTCTGTCAATAACAGAGAAAATCAACAGTTGCAGCTCTCTGTTGCGATGGGAGAAATAGAAAGTGTTGAGCTCTTGTCTTTCAGGCAAGAGCAAACAAACCCTTGTCCTAGAGAGCAGCACCCAACTGGACTCAACGCGGCTTCCATCCTTCATTGACATGGAAGGAGACATGCATTAAAAAGAAGCCATGGGTATCGACTTTGAAGTCACACCCTATAAGCATCTATTTCTTTCCTGTGGACTCTCCGCCAGGGCAAAAGCTGACATGGCCGAGCCCATCTAGAGGTTATCAGTGGGACACAGGAAGCCAGCCAGCCAGCCTGGAGCTCAGTGGCACTCTGAAGATACAGGAAAGACAGGCAGAACATATCCGGATTTTTGGCAGATAAGGACAGGAAACAACATTCAGTACCAAGAGTGGCCCTCCTTGTCATCATGTGAGAAAAGAAAGGTCCATGGTGCATATGCATTTCAGCACACACACGTACCATCTTTCCCAGAATTGCTGTTAAATTCCTGTTTGCTCTAATTTTCCTGCAGCTGCACCAGACTGTCATATATTCAAGCGTGCTTTAGCAGAAGAGCAGAAAATGAATTAAATTTTCAAACAAAGATGGGTTACAAAACTGAATTCCTGTGGAAACGTGGAGGGGGTGTTGCCTTCTTTTTGCAGCCATGACATGTGCAGAGAACAGTCCGAGCCAGTATAATGTGTGCATAAGCCCACTGAAATCAATAGGCTTACGTCCTCTTAACTCCTCTTTGAATGGTGGCCGCAGTGCTGGTCTTGTCTGGCAGCTTCCCAGCAGCCTGTCCAAGAGCAGGCAGTCACAGGAAAACCCTGCTTTTTAATCATGGTGCAGAATATGGTACTGTTCTTCTCTCAGCAATCAAGAGCCTCAGTAAACACCAGGGGACAGCAACATCTGTTGCCTGCACTGCGAGATCACACAGCCGGCGTTGCAATCCTGTCCAGCTGGTTCACATCCCAGTGTGGACTGCTCATCACAGTGTTTTGGAAAGGCAGGCCGTAGTTCAGTATGCGCAGCAGAGAACGGCCTAACCGAATGGGCAGGCGGGGAGAATATCGCGTGGCTCAAGGAGGGCTTCACCTGCTTCCTTCCCCTTTTCATTTCTTTTCCATCAGCCAAGCTCAGTGAGGCCGACCTGGCTGCAGGCTGGGTGTTTCTGTCCCTTCCCACTCACCATTGCGTGATGTTAGCAGGGCGTTTTCTCCATAGGCCCAAAGTCACAGAGCAGGCGTGGTGGAAAGCTTGTGGTGCCTCCGAATGTTTATCCTACAGCTCCCATCAGGCCTATCCAGCAGAGTCAAAGGCAAGGGTATGGGAGCTGTAAAGAGACTGGGAGGGGCCCGGGTTGCCTAGGCCTGGCTCAGAAGAAAGGATGCAACAATAGATAGGGGCCCTCCTCCACAGACATGTTCAACGTTTGAAATCTGCCTGTGCGCAAGCAAGGGGCAAGGCCAAGCAGTGCATGCAATGGTGTGTGGAAGGCCATGTCCCTCAGGACGACTCACCCACCTGGTGAGTCAGGGAGGACACCATGGGTAGGCTTTGTCAGGCGCCGGCCAAGGCCTATACTCATGCAAGGAGTGTGCAGCCATTTCCTGGCTCTGTCTGGTCCTCTAACCTGCCTATTTATTTATTTATTTTAGGGAACTTCTATGCTGCCCCATTCGCCAAAGCCTCGGGGTGGCTCACAATCATAAATAAATAACATAATATAAAACACTATAATTTAACAGTATAAATTAAGTCGCCCTGGCCAAAGAATAAAATAAATAAATAATATTAACAATTAAAATAACTTTTGAATAAAAAGGTCTTTGCCTGGCAACGAAAAACAATTAACGACGGCGCTAGGCGGACCTCTCTGGGGAGCACATTCCATAGATTGGGCGCCACCGCAGAGAAAGCCCTCCTCCGAGTACTTACCCTCCTAATTTCCTTCACGGAGGGTTCCCGGAGAAGGGCCTCTCCCGCTGATCTCAAAGAGCAGGAGGGCACGTATGAACATAAGCGCTCCTTTAGGTAACCAGGACCCAAGCCGTTAAGGGCTTTATAGGTCATAACCAACACCTTGAATTGGGCCCGGACTTCAATGGGAAGTCTACCTACTGCCATCTCTGATCATGCAAGCAATGCCAGCAATGAAAACATGGAACAATACCATCCATTTCCCAGACTGGGCCCACAGCAGTCGGGCAAATGAGTGGGCAGAGGTGGCTTGAAGAGGAGGAGGCCAAGGATGAGCCAACGTGAGCCAACCCATTCCATGGCCCACCACCTTTCCTGCCTGTCCCCTGTCAAGAGGCAGTGATGAGAGCTCCAACTGGAGCCAGTTTCTGCAAGGCCAAAGGCCTGACCAAAGAGTCCTGACATGGCATCCTCCGTCCACTTTGAGTTTCCCTGTGTGCACGTGTCCACCAGAGGTTCAGCATAACCAAAAGGGAAATACCATGCTATTGTTAAAATGCACGAACACATCAGTGTCCTATTTCTTTTCTATACTGCCCAACAGCCAAACCTCTCTGAAATACACCATTGTGGATGTTGAATGTGTCTGTGGAGGAGGGCCCCTATTCAGTGAGATTTAGGGATTTTTTCCTGCACAAGAATGCCATGTAAACCTGACATTTACATGGATGACACAATAGGAAACAGTAAGATCTTGAGGCTCAGCTGAAAAGAATCTTAGAATTTCACAACCATTGCTGTTAACTTGGGGCTTACAATTATGGAATGTGTGGGGATGGAAATGTTAAAATCCTAATTGTGGAGAGGAAATTCTATGGGAGGACAAGACTCCTAACAGGTTTCTGGCTTCAACAACCTTTCTCTCTCTCGCCACCAGGATTTCCAAACCACTTCCATTCTTTAACCCATTCTAGAAGTGACATACAGAGATGAGATCAGCTTGACTTACGGCTTGGTCCGTGGATCTTGATGGGTTTGTTGCTTATCAGCGAATGAGAACAGGTTTGGCAAACACAGTCCTTGCCACTGAATGTAACTTTGTCTCCAATGGGGAATGGCTTCCTGAAACAAAGCAGGAATAAAGCAACAGCAACAGGAAAATGTCAGAAATGCATTGATTCAAACCACCGTGGGGGAGCTTTAGATATCTACATGTCCTCTAATTGGGTTGCTGAAATTTTACATTGACTCAACTATCCTGATTCACTCCAGGGACTTTGCTGTCTTTCTGCTTATGGTGGCAAAAGCTGTAATTGCAGCTAGCTATCATTCTAAAGGAGCCATTAATGGAAAACCCGTGGCTGGCTAAACTTTGGGATTTATTTATTTTTATGGAAAAATCAATGCATCAGAAGCTGGTTTGCTTGGGGAAATGGAAACCAAAGAATTTGCTGGCAATGTGGTTCTCCTTTATTACTATTATGGGTTCTGATGACACACGTTTGGACAATTCCCAAATTGCATTCTTTTTGGCTGTATTGAGAGATACCACATGATGCGTAATATAGATTTTATAATTTGTTGAATGGACTAGACATTGTAAAAGGATTCCATGACACTATTCCATGTTTTCTTTTCCTCTTATTTAAAAATTCTTATTCCATGCATCTTGTCCTCACATATTACTTTTCAGCAGTGTATTGAAAGGTTTAATTCAGAAGTGGGAATTTTGCTGAAAACATCCCAACTGCAGTGCATAACACTCGTGGGTCAGGGTACCTGGCAGGAACATGGATCAGTACTCTATTCCCCAACCTTCCGCTGTTCCAATGTTGACAAAACTATGGGAGAAATGTTTTGCTGCCCCAGGCATTTCCTACTCATAGTCCTTGCCCAAGGCTGGAAAGCCTCCTGCCCAGAGGCCCATCCAGCCCGTGGAGACGCATTGGATTCCTCCAATGGTGGAACTTGGCCTCTGAGCCTGGTGCAATCCCCACTGTTATCTCTGGTCAGTGGTATGGCCTTCCTCCTCCCACCAAGCAGCAGAGATGGCCTTGCATGCCCTGCTGACAGAGTGCACAGTGAAATCCTCACAGTTATCTCTGATTACGGCTTGGAGAGGACAGCAGGTATGCAGTCAGCAGGAGGCTCTTCTGGTGCTTGCAGGAAAGGGTGCTCTTCCCAGCACCAGCCCAGGCTGCTCGTGTGCCTCGCACTGCAGCCTAAAGAGAGGTGTGTGGTGCATCGACCTGGGGATTTGCTTGCTACACAGAGGAGCAGCCCCTGTTCCCAGTGCCCGCAGACTCACTTCAAATCTGTATTATTGTCAAGGCTTTTGACCAAAGAAGCATTTGCAGTTCTGCGAAGGCACTGGCGACTTCTCAGAAAGAACTCTCATGAAGCACGTCAGAACAATGGATACCTTGGAAACAAATCTGGAGCATGTTTCAGATGTGTAACGCAGATGGTCCCTTCCTACATGTCCATTCCAGCACCTGGTCCCCACCCCCCACCCTTCTCCTGGGGTTGCTCTCCTTCAAGAGCTCTATTGTTTCATTGTCTCTCCTCCCAAACTTTTCTAGGAACAAACGATCCAGATCCACACACGAACGTAGCACAGCACAGGTGGGGCACTCACTGCGTTTTGACATTGCACAGCTCTTCAGAACTGATTGTTTAGAATCGCATACTATGGTCTGCAGTAAAGACTTAATAATTCTTTATCACACACTCAAACATTTTGATGCAGGCATCAATATCTGCTGCACAATTATGAAGACTCCTGTCTTTTAAAAAGGTAGAAAAACATCTCATACTGTGAGAGTTCACAGTGCTGTGGGTTGCATGGATGCAAGACTGCTAGGTATGTACACAAAGCTGGACACGGAAGGGCAAGCAAGCACGAACACTGGCCCCCAGGGGCATCAACCTGAACAATACCTTTGGAGACCCCAGCCAAGCATCCACCGTATGTAGAAACATGTCTTCCTTGTGCTTTGAGGGGACCCAGCTGGGAATTAAGAGCTGAAAGGACATTGGCTTTTTTATGGACTCCTTTCCCCTAACAGCTATAAATAAAATAAGAATGGCAGAGAGGAGCCAGACACAGATCACCAATGGCTGCCCATGGGTTAGCTTTCATGCCCAAGCTTTCATATAGGTAGGACCACCTGTTTTTCAGCCAGAGGAAGGTTGTAAAACACACACATAGGTGCAGTTATCTGCTTGTAGAAACACAGCCTCTGTGCATGCCTGTATAATGTCAGCTAGCTCATTATGGTAGGATTTGGCATCTCCAGCAGTAGCTCTGCTCTCCCTGAAGCTCCTTGTCCTGGTCTGATTATGTAAGGAAAATACTACAAAAGTTCTGAAAACCCCACAAGAAACTGGGGATGTACATATGCACATTTCCATGGAGATACAGACTCAGAATCCTTTAATGCTGATCAGCACAGATTAATAACTTCTTCCTACTTACAGGCAAACTAGTTATAGACTAGCAAGATATTCTTACCATCATTACCACCAGCACCACCCCATCATCATTGCGGTTATTTATATTAATGTTTCCACATCCTATAGCATATGGGCGGAGTGAGGTTTCTAATCTGGGGCTGTAGCAGCAAAGACAAAGTGGCAATTACCCCAAATCTATTATATAGGGGGCGGGAGGAATTTCAGTTTAATAAAATGGTCCATCATGCTGAAGAATGAACTTGTTAGACAGAGTCATAGGATTTGCACCGAATACCAGTGCTGCAATTTGAGAAACAGCCGATTGTTTCTACTTGGTGAAGACAATGTTTCCCACCCATAAAGCTTTAAGGAAAGGAGGCTGTATAAGTAGAAAGAAATGAAATGATAGGCTGGATCGCAAAGCACCAGGGGACACAAAGCACTGGTCCCCTCCCTTTGCGCCACCACAGTCAGCAGAAACAGATACTTAAGTTCATGCTGAAGCAGGTTTTGGAAAGTAACCCAGAGGTGAACAGGCAGTGATGCAGTTAGGTCTGGACCTGAGGCTGATCAAAGGATCAGCCAAAGATCATCAGGTGACAGAGACTGCTGCAAAGAGGCCTGGCATCAGCATCTGGGCAGGCCAGGGCCCCTTGGACAGATGTTCCTGGCCAGAGTATCCTACACACACACACACAATGAAGGGCTGGCTAACCAGGTGCACACATGTTTACAGATGTTCATGTAATTATTTATTGTTCATACTTTAAAAATATCATCTTTTTCTACAACACAGCAGTGCTTATTCCCAAACAAATGTGTGTAGCATAGGGTAGCAGAATCAAGTCCCCTGATGCCTAGTGGGCTGGCTTGCCCACTCCTGTGGGATGTTTCAGTTTCTGAGGCCTGGTGATGGGACAGAGCTCTAGAATCTGTCTGGGCACTTGATTGTTGCCCATCTTGGCTGCTTATGGCCCACACAGCATGTCTGGGGATGTGGATCCAGGAAGTGATCACCATTTGTGCAAGAGATGGGCATCTACTAGTATGATGTGGGGGCGGGCCCAACCTCTTCTGCAGAAGCTGTGCCTGGGTTCTCCATTTTGCGGCATGGTGGCTGTACTGGACATCTTCAGTATATCTGGAGGAAACAGATTATCTGGATCCATTTTAGAACTGGTTTCAGAATGGAGACTGCCTTGGTTGCTCTGTGGGAAGAGCTTTGCCAGGAGAAAGATGGGGGAGTGCAACTCTGCTGGTTCTTTTAGACCTCTCTGCAGCCTTCATTACCACTAATTGTGTGTCCTTCAAGGAATTACACATTCTAGCCACTGTTTTACAGTGACTTCATTCCTATTTGGATGACTGACTCCCTTCCCAGTTGCAACATGGAAGATAGGACTTCTCCGAATGTACATATTTGCTTGGCCTCTGCAGAGCAACACACCTGGGCAACAATTCCACCTTGCTCAGCTTGCCCAACATCCATGTTGACCCATCAACATTTCTCACCTTGGTTCACTCAAGCAATTGCCTCACACAATGCTGGAACTATCTAGCGCTGCTTGTGCCCCTTCCCTGGTAATGCTCAAAGGAAACAATCTGTGGGTAGGCCCAAGGACTTGGGTTTCCCACATCAGTATCACCCTGCATGAAAGGCTGGTGACACTGGACTAACAAAGCCTAAAACAACCAGAAAGGGGACAATTGCTGCAGAAGGCATGGAATACACTCCATAATATGGCAATGTTGTTCCAGAAGACCATAGCCATGGGAGCAGCAGGGGTGTGACATCGGTGGGATTTTCCTGTCAGTCGTCTTTTCCCATCTTTTTTTTTAATAGTCCCTTAATGCCCTTCTGTGGCTCTGAATTACAAAATAACAGACGTGTGCTAGAACATTATTCCTGAGGCCTAGAAAGGTTCATATTCACAATAGCTTCATTTTGGGATGCCACTTATCCCACCCCCACCCCTGGCCACCCCTTTTTGCAGAACTGTGCCTCCATGCTCTGGTTGTCACACAAGGTGACATCAGCAGTACCAGAATTAACTCTGTGTCTGCTTGACATGCCCATCGCTCCAATAAAGCGGCATAATCAAAAAGCATAGAACTAGGTTCTACATACAAAGTGTATACTTTTATTGCATGGAGATCTACCATTCTGAGAACTGTGTGACAAATAATTTCATATTATTCTAAGGCAGGCTGGGCTGGGCTCCTGCGGTCCTAATCCAGGGAAATTGGGTGGTGATAATTTTGTCTCTGGGATTACTGGGTGGTTTCCTGAGCACCTGAAAGGTTGCACTGCCTCTGCTAAGGCTTAGTTATTGGCAGCCAGAGCCTCAACCAAAAATGCATTGGGCTTTTTTCTTTTTTGGCTCCACCTCATTTGCTTTCAGCCCTGCCCACCTCTGGAATGTGGCCCAGAAACTCCTCGAAAACTGAAATCAGCCCTTGGGTGAAAAAAGGTTTTAGAGGAATACATAACTTATTTTTGTTAAGAAGATGTAGTAATTCAGGCTGTTATCTCTCATACTGTGGGAAAATCTCATCTTTTCCCACACTCAGGTAGGAACTTGGAGTTGCTGGTTAATTATTACCATCCTGAATAACTGTCCTCATTGCCATAAAAGACTTCTATTGTTATGCAATTGCCATGGGTGCCTATTGGATATTAACTATGACATCACTGGTAAAAAGGTTCACCGTATGTCTCCCTGCTCACATCTTCACAATTACTGTTTCTTTCAAGGTTTACTCTGCTTTTTAATTCCTTTCCAGAGTGACAGTTGAATGTGGTGGCGAAGGAAGCATGCTTTTCAACCTAGCAAGACTCTTCCTCTTCCCTGCCACCAGAATGAACCCATAATGCTGTCCTACTCTCCAACAGGCAAACATCTTTTTATTTGGCATGTCAACTGGTCTGCGCTTTAACAAGGTTTACCTAGTTGGGCACTGGCTTTGTTTTTTATTGTTGTGTTTCAATTACATTTTGAACTGATTTGTTTATATCTACAGTTTAACCCAGATTTTGTTTAAATCTGCAGTTTATTATCTTTAGCCTTCTTCAATGCCATTTCTGGTAGAATGCCAGGGTCTACATTTAATAATAAATAAATAAACCCTGAGTGGAATCATGCTTGGCTGATGCACCTGTCCTTACTGCAGTCTAGATCATGCTCTCCAAACACAGCTCAGCCTGACTGCCAAGCCAGAACTGCTGGTTTGAGTCTCCAACCACACCTCTTGGTTCCTCATAAAGTTCCAGCAAGGCAAGGCAAAAGGCAAGGCAAGGCAAGGCAAGGCAAGGCATGATGCCTGCCTGCAAGGTTCCTACTAGGCGACTACATTTCTTAATGTGGGTTCAAGCACCTTGAGTAATCTAGTTAGCATTTTCAGTGACTCATGAATTCACACAGGATGGCCAGACATTCACCTCACCTGCACACGCTGCACACAAAGCACTTGGGATGGTAAGTCCGGCCGAGGGCTGAGATAACCTCTCCGGTGATGAAGTCCTGGCAACTGTCACAGCGGGTGCCATACAGCTGCTGGTAGTCACGGGTGCAGATGTACTCGCCATTTTTGAAGAAGAAGCCCGACTGAGCCAGGTCACAGCCGCACACTACAGAACAGAGAGCACACACAGAGAGCAGAATCAATCCTTCAGGCTTCTTGACTGTGTTTTACCATTGCTGCATTGGTGTTTCTTCCAGCGAGTTTAAGATGCCTACATCAGTCATGTGTTCCTGCACGTATGTGTTCGGGAGGCCCAGCCAGCCACATATCCTCAACCGTGACCCCTGCGTGTACTCCTGCCATTTCAATGCTTTATGGGGAGACCTACATGATAGCCCTTCCTTTTATCAGGGGGTGCTTGTGTGATGATTATGCAAAACACAGTGACGACTGCTGGGGCACATGCTGCTGAGAATGTCATCTTGTGTCAGATGCAAGTACAATTGCAGAAGAATTATGACGAGTTGGCAAGGCAATGCGTACAGGGCAATGGCCCTTTAAAAAGTATTAACTATGCATTAGCTATGTGTAAGTGGAAAGGAGTGAACCAGCAGAGATTTTTTTTAAGATAGTGGAAAAATGTCAGCTCTTGCTGCCCAGTCACAAAAAATCATAGACGGGGACAGGGGAATGGGGAGAGAAGATGGGAATCCCATTGTGATGTTGGCTGCCCGTCTCCCATCTCCCACCTGGTGAAGCCAGCAGGATCGATGCCCTGATTCTCCTCGCCCAAGAGCAATGTTGGGGTATGCTGGAAGTTGTACAAACTTCTCTGTCTGAACATGCATTATATAGTGACCTAAATGTCTTAGGGAGTAGGATACCTAAAGGGCCACTCCTTACCATATAAACCTGCTTATTCTCTGAGGTCACCTCAAAATGGCCTGTTGCTGATCCATCCAACAGGGAAGGCCTGGACTGCCATGTCCTCCTCAACTGCCATGCCTCGGCTTTGGCATGTTCTGCCCTAGGAAATCCATCTGGTTCCCTCCGATATGGCATCCTGATCAAGACTCAAGGCTATTTTTGTTTTGTTTTGGGTTGCTTTGATTTCTGTCTGCTGACTTTTAAAAAATCTGATTTCTTTTTGCAATTATATTTATATTATCCATTGCCTTTTTTGAGGGGGGAAGGTTGAATTTTTAGCTTGAATATTTTGCTGAGTTGTTGTTGTTGTAGTTCTTAATCATGTTAGGAACCACTGGAAATCATTGTGTGCAAGGCTCTGGAAGAGTCTTGTCTCTGGTGCTGGGATTGTGTTGGTCCATTTGTGCACACACACAAGTCATTGTTAGGTATCGGCAAACATGCAGATGCCTGAACCAGCCTTGAGTCTCCCTGCCATGACTGTCAGGCTCAGACCCCTCATTGCAAGTGGAAGACCAAGACATTCTCCCTTGGACAGTGAAGATGGATTCCTTCCTCCCATACAATGCCTACTAGTCCTGCCCTAAAGAACAGAACAGAACAGAACAGAACAGAACAGAACAGAAAAGAAAAGAAAAGCTGGAGGGCAGAGCACTTCTTTCAGCCCCACAAGATGTCACTGTTGGGTTGCTGGCCAGGTGGAGCAAAAGGGAAGGCAGGACTCCCTTGGGGAAGATTTGGGGCCTGCATGAAGAAAGCTCGGCTGCTACTTAGGAGAATTGTCTGTGAGCTTTGGTGTGTGACAGTATCTGAGCGTGCCCTCTTGTCTGAGTATTAGCAGGCCACACGATGCTATCTGGGCAGAGCCACCTGGGAGAGGGAAGTCTGACCTCCGCTCAGGCAACAGTGGAGCCACGGCAATGCCACCCATCCTGCTTCCCAGGATGCTGCTGGTACATCGTCCCGTTAGCGCCTGCTGCAGCCACAGGGGAAACATGCCAAAAGCATCCTCAGCATGGTTCCCTTTCCTCTGACGCAACAGTGCTTCAGGCACTTCAGTGGGGCAACTGACCCAAGCTCAGTTTGGCATGAGGTGGCCAATGGCTCCTTTGCCAGGCCCACTGAAAGAAGAGAAGGTCAGAACGGCAGGCTTTGTATTGGTCTGCAGTGTGTTGAGGCAGCCATGTGGGCGGTGCTTCTACAGGGAGCCATCGTGGGACCCAGCCAGCAGGCATGTAGACCTTTTGGGTGAGTAGGCCTTGGGTGCAGTCAGGTCAAGATGTGGGACATAAAATGGGGGGAATTTTTTTTAAAAAACAGTGGCATTGTTATGTACCTGCTGAGGCCATGGAGAAGTAGCTCTTACATCTCTAGCTGCTGGGCTTAAGCTTCCAGTCCAGTGATGAAGGAAGAAAGCTCTGAGCAACAGGGACCTTGTTCTGAGAGGCCTTCTGCAGAGCCAGCACCAAGGGTAGCCATAGCCAGGCAACAGCCAAGGGCCCAACCCTTGACACCGTTGCCCCCCGTTGGCAAGACCCCTCCTGGAGTTCCTTCTCCTTTCCACCACTGCAGCCCCCTTGTTCAGCTGCTCCCTGCCCTGGCCAGACGGGTGGAGGAGCAGTCAGTGCTGCTGCATTCTTGTCCACTGACTCTCTGCCTGCCAAGCGAGCCAGTGGGAGCCACGATGAAAGGAGGGTGAGGAACGGCGGCAGATGGTTGCCGAGGTGCAGAGGAGATTCGCTGAGGCCCAAAGGCCCTCCCAGCCCTGGAGCCAACACTGCTTTTCAGGGAGGCAGCCCTTGTTGTGCACAGATCATGGCAACATCTTAGTCCAGACAGTATGAACTGTCTGCTCTGTGGGAAAGAAGCTGCAGGAACCACGTGTGGCGCTAAGTGTGCTTCAGTCCACAGGTTTTAATGCACTTAGGTGTGCCTAAGCCTGCACAGGAGGGAGCCATTGGCGAGAGAAGGGCTAAAATCAAATTGGGGATGCGGAAACTGATACAGAGAGAATAGAAAGAAGATTAGGCTGAATGGGGTAGGGAGTCATGAGGGGAAAGACTGGGAATGTGGCTTTCCTTTCCCTTGGAAACGGATGGGAAAGATGGCCAAGTTCTCTCCTGGTGACTCTGCATTCCTTTGGAGGCTAGAGACAGCCTGAGCTTTTTGTCTGGCAGCATAGTCTACACAAAACTCCAGGGGGTTGGAGACGCTCGATTCCCCCGTGGAGCTCCAGGAGCCGGCATGCTGGAGAGCGGCGTCTGAGAGGTGGACGCGGCAGCACATGGGCCTTGCTGGGTTCTCACTGCGCAGGTGTCTCCAGATAGGGCGTCTTTTATAGGGCTGCCAGGCTGCAGCTCATCAAACCCATCCAGACTTACTTATTTATTTACAGGACTTCTATCCTACGTCGCCTCTAGCATTCTTTATGCAAGAAATCATCTAGTGGCTGCAGTGGCTGCTTCTTCCTTTCCTGGTTCTCTGTGCGTCTCCCCACAGAGCCTACTTCACAAGCACGACTTAAACGTTGTCCCACGACAGAAAAGGGAGGTGTGTAAATGGGAGAACCAGGAAAGAAGCAGGAGCAGCTGTTCATCTCAAATACAAAGAAAGATGCTAGACATACGTCCTGAGTGACGACCAAGTGGTTGCAGAAGACTGCTTCTCCTAATGTAAGTTAGGGGCACCTGCACCCCACATAGGTCACAAATGTCTCTGCTGATTAGTCTACCTGGACTAGTACATGGTTAGGGACTGGGAGCAGCAGCCCTGGAGGCCAAATCTGGCCCTCCAGGATTTCCCAGTTGGCCTCACTGCTTTTCTCCCCACCACTGGTCATTAGGTCCTCTGCCAGCTTTTGAGCAGTTTTTCCTCATCATAAAATAGGAACGCCTCTCCTGAGGCTTAGCTGTAAGCCGGAAGAGTGTTACATTAAAGTGCGTGCATGCACGTGTGTAAAAATTTAAAATATTATCTTTGGCCTCACCTGTTTTGCTTTTGACCCGGCCCCTTTGCCTTTGGATCTCCCCTCTCCCAGGAACACAGCTGCTGAGAGCATTTCTGAAGCTGAATCTGGCTGAAAGACATGTCCCACTTCTGGACTAGCTATGCTGCCATCCTCCCAGAGCAGTGACTGTACCCCATAATATGGGTTAAGCAACCTGCAGATCTAATCCAGCCTGTGAAGAATTGTGCATCTGCCATGGGGCCCCTCCCTAAGTCCCATCCCTTGAAGCTGAGGAGAGCACAGGGGAATCCCACTGTTATCTCCAAGCAGCCACATCCAACTGGGGAGAACAGAGATAAGCTGGGGATTCCCTGTGCCCCACTTTCCACCCAATTTGGTGTGTGACTCAGCCAGACTTTGCAGAAGCTGCTCCTACAAGTCCTGACCAAGTTCCTTCCCCTCCTGACTGGGGCGTAAAGGAACAGCCTGACTCGAGGACTTCTCTGGCAGAGAGCAGAATGCTGCCAAGTCTGGTACACCATCCAGCAAATTGCTGGTAATAAATTTGTAGTTGCGGTGGAATGGTATCTGTTTCAGAAGAATGCAAGACAACAATTAACTTGGCACATGAACAAATTTTCTTGGAGTAACTTCTGCACTCTATGTAAATGCTCATAGTTTTACTCAAAGCAATGGGACATGTTCAGCTTTCACAGTCCCTAGGCACCACGAATCTATCCACTCATCCTTTGGCACTCTCTCCTGATGCATTTCAAGCCACGTGCTTTGCAGCCCTCGTCCAGGGCTTTCCTGTGGATCAGCTTTGATTGCACAGCCCTCCAGCCTTACACTCATGCTCTGCTACTTGCAAAGAAGACCATCCATTTAGATGTACGGCTGAGTTAGCTGTGCAATGATGGCTATGCAGGTTCATTGAAGTCAGGCCCATATCTAACTGTACGGTGCTTTGCAGGATGCAGACTTTACTGTAGCATACCTATAAATAGTTGCATGGCTCTGTTCCAAGAAGTAGACAGTTCCAGGGAGCATTACGCTGGCTCAGAGGCCAGGAATATAGCCCGCAAGAGCCCAGTAAAGGGCACCTCCACCCAAAGGGAGAATACAGCAGTGGTCAGGACAATGCGTCTGACTACAGCGTGGGCCAAGCTAGCTGTCACCCATCTGCTCTGAATGCAGGCCCATCTTTCCTGTCTTCACCAGCAAATAGGAGATGGAGGAGGTGTAACACAGATTGGGTGGGGCTATAACTAGTATCCAGATATTGCTAGTGGAAGGCATGATGGTGTTTCTTGCACGCAGTGGTGGACTGGCGGGAGAGAAGCCGTTCTCCCTTCAGCGCACAGCGGCTCAAGCCATGGCTGCATGGGGCTTCAGTGGACAAGGCCACTAAGAGGCATTCAGAGGCAAAGCTGGAGTCAGAAAGGAGGAATGGAAGCCTGTGGAGCAGGAACCTGGCTTTCCTTAGGGTCTGATGAGTTTAGTAAGCTTTGTCCCTTCAGTCTGGGTTTTCCATCGTGAAGATCTAGTCTGGCACCATATGCCCCCACCTCACTACTGTACTGGCTCCCTGGAAGAAGCGATATCCTGCTGCGTACATTTTCGAACTTCCAGGCAGTCCACCATGCGTGATTTCCACCTAGTCCCAGCTGGCGTTCTCCATGATGGCGGTTATGTTCTCATTTTTCTGCCACACAGTTTAGATCTCTCCTAGTGCCTCTTCTGCCGGCCTGTGGCCTACAGAGTCACCCAATCTTCACCCACAGGGAATATGCCAACTTTGGAGCTGCTGCCCATCACGCTCTGCTCCTCAGATCCCCTGACACTCCTGCGGTTTCTTAGCTGCCACACGCACTCCTGGGCGTCTTCGGAGAACGTGCTATGCCCCACTGAGAACTGAATGTCGTGGACTACTTAAGTTCACCCCTACCCTGCTGATGACAGGTGAGCGGGGAGGGGCAATGCTGAGATGCTGCAAAAGCTAATGGCCCAGAACAAATGTGAAAGGGCTCCTTCATACTTTTACTGCAGCAGCTGCTCTTATGAAGGGGCAGGAACCAGATCTATAAATTGTTCCATGTGAATTACCAGAAATTGGTACTGCTCCCTGGTAATTCCCACCCTCATCATTTTTCACTAAGCAATGAGCAAGTTTTCCTCACTGCATCCTGTACTTCTATGTTTATGCTTGTCATCAAAATACGCTAGGCCTGCACACACACAAACAACAGGTGCATCTCTTCCTATTAAAATGCAGATGCACCACACACACGATGGTGCTATATTAGTTTGAACAGCTAAGAATCCTGGGGATTTTCATTTGGTAAAGATGCTGATGATTCTGCTAATCTGTTAAGGATCCCGAGGTTGCTTGCCAGGACTAAAGTTTTTGGGAGAAGGAATGATTATTCAGTGAGCTGAAATATGCCATGTATATATTGCCACACTTCCCATTACAGTAAGACTCCTTTGTCCCAACATGAACTCAAGTCTCCCTCATGGGTCACGTTCTCAATGGAACTTCAATTGCTCATTCACATTCAGGGGATTCTGGCTCTCTTGCATTCTATATTCACAACTTCCCTGTATTGCCCTTGTCACAGTAACTTGCAAGCAGCAGTGAATGCGGATATAACCATAGCCAAACCATAGCTTATCAGGTCATTGAAACGAGGGAGACATGGCTTGTTGGAAGGTTAAATAGTCTCAAATAACCTCACAGTGGCACATGGGTTTTTGTGGGTTGTTAAACTCTCTAACAATCATGCTGCCTGGATGACACAAGTCACACTTGGGCAGTGTTCCAGCCACTTGTTTTGAGCTTGCAAACTGGGTCAGTTAGAAAATGACAAATGATGGTGTTTTCCCACCTCTGAATATTTCTGAATAAAATGGATTATCCAGATTCCTTGTACTCTGGCTTCAGGCCCCGTTTTGGGATTGGGATGACCCTGATGCAGGACCTATACCAGGAACTGACAGGGGGAGTACGTCCCCATTGGTTCTGCTGGAAATCTCAGCAGTTCTGAATGTCATCATCTACCATGGCATCCTGCTGGATCAGCTTGCAGGAATGGGACTTGAGGGCATGCCCTATGAGGAGAGACTGAGCGGGCTGGGCATGCTCAGCCTCGAGAAGAGAAGGCTGCGGGGGGGGGGGGGGGCATGATATCACTCTGTAAGTACCTCAAAGGCGGTCACAAAGAGGAAGGTCAAGATCTCTTCTTGCTGATGCTGGAGTGCAAGACATGGAGTAATCAGCTCCAGTTGCGACAACCCAGGCTCAGGCTAGATATCCGAGATGCACCGGGTTTTAATATTTTTAGTGTATAATTTTTGTATGATTTTGTTTGTTTTGTTTTTGTTGTGAGCCGCCCCAAGGCTTTGTCGCGATGGGGGTGGCATAGAAATGTTTTAAATAAATAAAAATAAATAAATATCAGGAAAGGCTTCCTCACTGTCAGAGCAATACAACAGGGGAACCAGCTGCCCAGAGAGTCTGTGGGCTCTCCAACATTAGACATTCAGAAAGAAACTGGACAACCATCCGAGAAGGATGGTTTCACTTGGTGTCCTGCACTGAGTGGGGGGTTGGATTCAGTGGCCTTCTTGGCCCCTTCCATCTCTACTATTCTATGATCCCTTCTTACCCTTTATCAGTTCCTCATAACCCTTTGAGTTCGGAGGATTGTGGCACCCCAAATGGGTTACAGCAAAAAGGGATTTTAATTGCTATGTTCCTGATGGTGGTTGTTGTTGTGTAAGCCTGTAAATCCATGTCAACTGCTAGGAGATAAGGTCAGGTTGAAATATTTTAAAATGATTTCAATTAATTAACCTATTTAACATATTGATATACATACCTTTCATTTTCAAATCAGTGGGTGGTGCACAAAGTGCATTAAAACAATGTAATACAACATCAGCAGGAACAGATCTACCACAGTAGGTATTAAAAAATCAGCTGACGCCTGAGTACACCTATAAATACATATTGAAATAATGCCTGTGGCCACAGCACTGGAGTCATTTGGTCCTACCCAAAGGACTGTGCGGAGTTCCAGCTGGTGCTCACACATGGTGAAGCTGCCTCGATATGATCCAGGCAGCTTCACCTGTGCCAGTCTTGGAGGGAGGTGAATGAGTGCTGTCTTGCAGAGGGATCCATCCTGTCATCTCGGAAAGCTCAGCAGGGATTATTCCTCCTTAGAGGCCAAGTCTGCCCCCTGAAGGAATGCAGGGCCAGCGTGGAAACCTCCGCAGGGCAAAACAAGTCTGTAGACTGGAGGTTTCCCAGCTCTGCTCTGCACTGTGCTTGCGATCTCTCCCATTTGTCTTTGGCGACAGGGTGCATCCTGTTGCTACTTTTGTCAGTATTTTCCTGCTGCGGTGGCTTGCAGTGGTAGCCACCTGTCTTTCAGCTGTTCAACGTCTTGAGGAAATCCTGATATGCTTTCAAACCTAAAGTTCCATGGAAAATAGTTTCATAACTTCTGGGCTATCGTATCTGGTACCATTTGGCCAGTGGTATGCAATAATAATTAATATGAGACAGTGTTTGACAGGTTACAATGTAACATTCTATCTTGCAGCAGAGATGACACACAACAGTAGTTACTAAGTGACAGCATTTCGCAGATAACATGCAACAATGATTAGGATTCTATGATGAAGAGCTTCTGGGAGTTCATGATTCAAAGCATGTCCAAACCCGCAGCAAACAAAGATGCTAAGAAGGTTGGAGTGTTTGAATGTCGAGGCAAAACTTTCTAACTGGATAGACTGAATTTGATTCCAAAGTTCACATTAATTTGTTTAAGTAGCCATGTTGAAAATCTGGCAACTTCATATGTTTGCCAATACCAGTTTCACCTCTTGCCTTAATCCACAGCATTGCAGTTATGGTGGAGGAGGCAAAGATGCGGAACCTCGGCTGTGAGGCGCTGGAGAAATAAATAAATGCATAAATGACTCACCCAAGAGCTCATTGCCTTCCTTCATTGCCCTGATTGGTGAGTCGATGCATGGCATCCATAATATGCTTCAGACATATGTTCACTTAAAGATTAAACTGAGTACTGCCTCAGCTTGGGTCAAGGAAGTAACACCTTCTTGCCCTTCCTAAAGTTCATCAAGAGCACATACCTTGGCAGGTGAAGCATCTGATGTGGAAGTGATTGCTCTGGACACGCACCACCTCTCCTTTACAGGTATCTCCACAGCGATAGCACTGGATTATGGTGGGACGACCCCCAGAGTTGTATGGGTTTTGTTGAAAAGGAACTGCTGGTGAAAAGAAAAGGGCACAGCTTGTTAGCAGAGAAGCGTATTGGGTGTTCAGGACCAGTCAGCTGAGTAAAACCCATGCATTCATTTTCCATTTTTCTAGTATCGTGTGCAAGATACTGCCGCCCTGGCCAGAGATACAAGAGGCTGTGGAGCGGACCTCAGGCAGACTGACTGGAATTCTGTTCATGCTCTGGCCACCTTCTTGGAGATGGTCAACAGAGAATGTGAAGTGTATTTAGGCAGAGGGCAGAGAAGAGTGACAAAGCACCTGTTCTCTGTGTGTTTCTTTAAACGTTACAGAAAATAATTGTGCAAAACAATGGCATCTTACTTTTTTAACCTGCTCTTGTGCAACTGTGAATGCTTTGGGACGGGCGACCTCGGGTGGGCAATGTGCAGTGTGGGGGCATTGCACGGCCCCCATGGCATCGCTCCTCAGAGGAAGCGGGCTCAGAGTGGACATTCCCACGTCAAGGTTCCTTGGAGGCAAGCTGGGACACACGCAGGCCTGCAGGTTGTGTGTAGGCACTTCTGGCCCACGTGCCTAACCCAGCCTCTGGAGGTCCCACATCCAGCCAGCAGGGCCTCCCTTGTTCCTCTATGGAGACAGCAGGCACATGTGAAGCCACAGCCCTGAGGCTGCTCCTCTCAGTGGCAGCTGAGTTGCTTTCTCTGTGTTCTCCCAGAATGGAGAAAAGCAACATGGCTGGGGGAGGGCCGGACCCACTGGCACCATCTGAGCCTCTTTGCAACCTTAACACCCAATGCCAGCTTTAATTACTCCCAGTCTGAGCAGACCATAAGGATAGGTAGGAACTTAGGATGAATTTCTCTAAGCATCTTGAGGAAGAGACATGCATTCTGAAGCATGAGACAGAGGGTCTGCTTTGACTCTAGAAAGCCCTTCCGAAGGATCATTACCTGGTCAGAATGTTGCATTTTTTTGGCACCAGGTAAAAGTGCTTTTATTTGCTTAGGCATTTTGATTGGCTTTCAAATTGTGTTATTGCGTGTTAACAAATTGTGTGTTAAAAACAGCTGGTACATAAGCTGTTTTTAAATCTCTCCCAGTTTTGGATGAAAATGTTACTGTAGTTTATTGCTGATACATTATCTTTGCACCCTCATTGGCAAAGGATGTTACAGAATATTTCTAAATAAACAAATTAGAATGGCCAGTGGCCAGATACTGTATAAAGGATGCTTCTTATGTATTGTATTCACATATAAAGTAAAACACTGTAATGCTAACCTGTAACCACACAGGCGTGTATGTATCAAATAAAAGCCTTTGTTCTAGACCTCCATTCATTCAGAATCTGAACATTCAGTAAAGAAACATTGAGTGGGCTTATCTTTTGGGCCATGCATTCTCCATCAACTCCCACATCCATCTCTTCATGACCCAATGTGCGTAAAATTCCTGATATTTATCTGTATGCTTCTTAAGGTGCCACTGTCTGACACACATGGCTGCTCAGGAAAATGGAAAAAACAACAACAACAAACAAATCCACACTTATTGGAAATCCTAGGTTTTCCTGTTGAGAGTCACCTTTCCATAAAGATGCCATATTCTCAGGGGAATTCTTACATCAGAAGTGAAGGTCAGATTTGTCAGGGTTAGTTTCACTAGACCAGAGAATTCTCCAAGGAAACATCTGATGTGCATGTCTCTAAACCCACTCAAAGCAGGTAATCGTTTGTAGAGGAGCCCAGGAGAATTGGTTGTGAGATGAGGGCTTTCTAGCCCTTTGGAGTCCTCTTGAGCTCCTTTGCAAAGGAAAGAGCTTTCCCTGCATCTGTTTCTCTTTCCTTGATGCTTGTTCAGCAAAACTATTTATTCTGCAAACCACTGAGGCTATCGAGAATATGCTTTATGATATGCTGTTATTACTGAGTAGACAGTGCCAGTAGCATCTGGGGAGGGGAAGACCATGGCCACAGGAGGCCGCCTTCTGGTGGACAGAGTCCCTGTTTGCATTTTTAGAAACCCCACATACACCCCTCCATTCCCCACTTCCCCTCAAGGGAGTGTTTGTTCCTATAGCAGAGGTGGGAGTGCACAGTCCTCACAGGACGATTCAGAAGAAGACAGAGGGTCATGAAACAGGGCTGAAGGGGGACTGGATCACCTGTCATGTTCTTGGCATTCACGGATAGGTGCCCATTGCACCAGAGTCCATGAAGTGCCAGCAACTGCAACAGAAGGGCTTTCTTAGGAAAAATCTGTATTGTTCCTGTGATAAAAGAGTGTGGCCATGCACAAGTTTGCATATGCTGATTTACATTACAATCTCTCTCCCCCCCCCCCCCGCTGTATTTTAAGGGCTCTGTCTCCTAAGGTCACCCCTGTTTGTAAAAAGGATTGCCTGGACAGGGAAGAGGCGGGCATTTGAATCCAAAGACAAACAACATACAAACCCTCTCAGGCAGAAAGTTTTGAGGGGGAAGGTAGCAGAAGAGGAAGCACAGGTGGGCTCATGCGGGGGGGGGGGGTGTTGGATGCAGCAGAGATCTTCAGGCCCCTTGGCCTTTATTTCAGCAAATGCCCCTGGGCCACAGGGGGGTGGAGCAGGTGGCTTCCCAGGGACTTGGGGTCTGCATGAAAGTGTTGGGGTCCCAAACTGAGTGGATCCCCACAACATCACTCTGGTAGGAAGGGGTCAGACAGTCCAACCCTCTGCAAAATATATGAATTCAGTTTCTTCTGTTTGTTCTTTGCCTTGCTTGCTTGTAATATTTTTCTTTGAAGAAGGGTGGGTAGTCAGGAGAATTTGCCAGCAAACTTTATCGTTGAAAAGAACTTTGGCCAGAATTCTAGTACGACAGATATGTACTCACATCTTTTCCTATTGGTGGGGTGCCATTTTTTAAAAGAACACTCAGTGGCCAGGTTCAGACAACCAGTGAGAGCATTGTGCTGGGCATGCACTGCGTGGTTTGCCAAACTCAAAGCTTGTTGCAGGTTCCCGGGGTACTTTCAAAGCCACCCCTTGCCGTGCAATTTGCTGGGTTTGGATGACATTGGAAGCCACATACCTTGTGGGTAGTTTGACGAATCATGCAGCGTATGCCAGGCATGCAAACCTTGAGAGAGTTTCTCTGTGGCCAGTTAAAGTCATTAAGAAATGAAAAGGAAAAAAGGGAAAGGATCTATCTGTGACCAAACCGATGCTGCTTCAAGTGCTGGACTGGATGGACCATTTGTCTGATCCTGCATGGCTTTTCTTACATTTTTTATTTTAATCATTGTGGCCACATTAATGAATTCATTTTTAAAGCATTTGATTTGATAAAAATGCGTGTACTTTTAGAAAAGCATTTGTGTGTTGGACAGCTACCCACACTGACAGAGTTCATGGCAGCTGGACAGCTTTTAAATATTCAAAGGACAGGATCTCTCCTCAAACATCCAAAAGTGCAGGACACAGAATAATGGGCTCAAGTGACAGAAAGCCAGATTCCAGCTACATATCAAGAAAAAATTCCTGAGTGTCAGAGCAGTGTATGCATGGAACCAATTACCCTGGGAGTTTGTGGGCTCTCTCACATTGGTGGCATTCAGGATGCACCTGGACAGCCATCTGAGAGGGTGGTTTAACTGGGAGACCTGCACTGAGCAGGCAGGGGGTTACACCTCATGGCCTTCTGGCCCCATCCAACGCTACCATTCCACATGTCCATGAAATGGCAACCACAGCCTCCCATGTCATCCAAACCCAGGGAAGGCGAGTTATGGCCATCGTTAACAAACCACCTCAAACCTGTGGGCTTTTTAGGGTCGTTGTTAGTTTGCTAAACATGCCAGAACTGGCCCCGCCTTGCTGAGCTCACATGATATGCCAAACCAGTTGCAGTTGGAGTATGGCTGCCTGGCAACCATCCCACCATAATTTAAATGGTGGGCTGCTTTACTATGCGGATCAACCCAGTGTACTTGGCAGGCAGCGCTGCAAGTAGTCTGTGGTCCTTATGCCCATATTTCTGGGAGAGAGAGAGGTACATGTTGTCACTGCAGAATAGTCCAGCTGTTATCTCATACGCTCGTGTTTTCTTTTTTAAAGAACAATACAGTTGGAGGGGTGGATTGTGAAGCATTTACTGAAAAGAAAGGTACTTTTCTTCATTTCCTTCATTAAATAGTTTCTGTATTTAATTTCTTTCTGAGCTCACTGTTTACAATCCTCATCTGCCCATACATACTGTATAAAACTCTGAATAGCCACATGATATTTATTCATTTGATGAGGTAGTCTATAATCCATGGAATTTTATGCCAGAAAACATTCATTAGTCTTTAAGGGCATAATCCTATTGCCTCCCAGCATTATCCGGAGGGCTACAGGATAGTTCCAAGTCCCAGTTCCAACATTAGAAATGCTTTCTAAAGTTGGAGCTGGGACTCCAACCTTGGGCTCCCCTGCTCCAGTTTGTCTGGTTCTTTCCAGAGTGGCTAGACATGAACCCCAACCATATTTTATTATGTTTATATTTTGTTCTTCCTCCAGCAAAGTCCCCCTCATTTTTATCTTCCCAACAATCCTGTGACTGGCCAAGCATCCCGTGAGAAATTATAAACATTTATTGGTCCTTGTGACATAGCAAAATATTCTGGGCCAGCACCAGCCATGTACATGTGTGTCCTGTTTGGCTACTGTGTCTGACAGAGTCAGCGAGTCCATCTGTGTGTCTTTCTTGGTTATGTGTGCATGCTTTGATGTATATTTATATTTTCTTTGCCTGTGTGCTGTATGTTGCAAAGGGGGAAGTTTCTGTTTGTATTTGTGTTGAGGGAGACAGATTAGTCTTTTGCTTCCAGAAAAGGAAGATGATTTTTCACTCAAATATGTAGTGACTAATGTTTTGCAGTATTATTACAAATGGTTGACTGTGTGTATGCATTGATATCATATGTGAGTTCGGTATTTGGGGCAGCCAAAAGGCCCACTCGGCACTGTGCGGCTCCAAAGATAGCATTATAGAATATCATCATT